TATACATACTTCACTATCGCCACCAGATCCAGATTCAATCCGGGAACTTCCAATGGAATCAATTTCATCCATAAATATTATAGATGGTGCATGTTCTCTTGCCATCACAAACAGTTCACGAACCATACGCGAACCTTCTCCAATAAATTTCTGTACTAATTCAGATCCAGATACACGAATAAAGGTGCATTCTGTATGATGTGCTACTGCTCTTGCAAGTAAAGTTTTACCAGTACCTAAGGATTTTTTTTACATTATTATGATATAATTGAATATATTATGGCTAATAGTTTATAATAAATAAGTGTAACAAATTAATACTAAAAGTTTCAAATACATATCTTTATTCTTATATAATAGAATAAATTGCTACCTGGTGGTCCATATAATAGTACGCCTTTAGGTTGTGCAATTCCGAGAGCATCAAATAATTCTGGATGCTTGACCGGTAACTCTATAACTTCTTTTATTTCCTTTATTTGCTTATCTAAACCTCCAACCATTTCATATGTGGAATCTGGTACTTTCTCCACCATCATAAGAGAAACAAGCGGATCAACTTTATTCGGCAGTATTTTATGCAGAGTATAACTCTCATTACGCAAAGCCACTCGCGAATTCGGTGTTACATCATTAATATCAATATTCTTGTCTATATCCACCACAAACTTGCCCTCAGGATGTACTTTAACTAATACTTTTTTTTTGTCCATAGGTTTAACTACTTCCCCTACATATGAGCCTTGCTCTTGTAAGAGTTGTAACTCTTCTCGCAGCATACGTACTAAAAAATAAAAAAATAGGAGACATTACAATAATCATACATAATAATTTGTCTTATATAATTGAAAAAATGTCGAACTTTTCTGAATATAACAATAATATTTCCATCATCAAGATAAGTACCTTTTGCATTCAGTTCATTACGCTGTGCCTGCAATCTCCTTAAATTTTGACTTTTTTCAGTAACAATTAACTGCAATTCCTCAATCTTTGTAATATAATATGGTTTGAAACCTTCTCCTTTAACATTTTTTTCATCAATCTCCATCTGAAAAAAGATTTAGGTTAATTATAAATAAATATATAATTGCTCTCTTGCACATTATATATTTAAAAAAGTAATTAATTAAAATAATAATTAAAATTCTTCTCACCTTATTTGTAAGCGTCATGATGGATTTAAGAGTAATAAATGTTTCAAATATAAATATTTAATATATCTTTTGCTTCTTCTTTGTAAGATTACTTTTTGCTTATCATCATAACGGATACATCACTTCCATAAACTTCTATATAATACTAGACTGCCAAGTTCTCAGGGTGCGAACCTTAGGCCGGTATTCATAGTCAGTTCTTATTTCAAGACGGTCTTAAGCCCGAATCACACTAGCGGCTCGCGGCTGCGATTGTGATTGCCTCAGCCAATCGGAAAGCACCAATTGCAAGTATGATTGGAGAGTAGCAAATCCTTAGAACATATACAAATGGAAGGGGAATGCCTTTGTTTCCCGATAGAAAAACATGTCGGAAGGAAGTAAGAAAGAAAATCATAGTTGCTTCTCTCTTGTAAGTTACTCTGCTCAAAAGTGCGCATGCGCGGCCATGTGTGTGTACACAAAAGTATGTATACTACAGACATGATGCTTGTGTGTGTAGTTACTCACAAGAGAGAGGTAACTACGATTTCTTTCTCACTTCCTTTTCCGACATTTTTCAGCCTGCTATTCCCCTTCCATTTATATATGTTCTAAGAGCAAATCACAATCACAAACGCAATCGCAATCGCGAGCCGCTAGCGTGATTCGGGCTTTAAGTAATGTCTTAAGATGCTAATACGGCTCTGTGATTGGTTTAGGACATCTTAAGATTGTGCTAGAGGGTGCCATTACATGAAGCGCGGAAACGCGGATTAGCGTAAAGTCCGAATCACACTAGCGGCTCGCGGCTGCGATTGCGATTGCCTCAGCCAATCAGAAAGCACCAATTGCAAGTATGATTAGAGCGTAGCAAATCACAATCACAAATGTTCCGTGCCCTTTGCGTTCTCTCTCACTCTCATGTAGCATAGCGAAAGAGTACGCTATGCTATGTGCGAGCGAGGGAGAATGCAAGGGGCACGAAACAGAGTATGTCCTTTTCTACGTGCATCTTTACCCCTACTCCTTAAATAAAGGCAAACGCTCGGTCTAGATATACTATGTCTATAGAGGCAACTATGATTTTCTTTCTCACTTCTTTCCGACATGTTTTTCTATCGGGAAACAAAAAGGCATTCCCCTTTCATTTATATATGTTCTAAGGTGCGAACCATAGACATATAGAATGGACTGAGCGTTGCGATAGACAAACGCGTGCTCGCTGTAGAGAGAGAGAGAGATACTATATGGGAGGCCTATTTTGTCTCTTTTTCTAGCATCTCATTGGTGATTTTGTCCCCCTCTATATAGAAAATCACCAATGAAATGCTAGGAAAAGAGACAAACATAAGCCTTCCATATAGTACCTCTTTTTTTACAGCAAGCGCACGTTTGTCTATCTCACAATGCTCAATCCAGTCTATATATCTATGGTCTGGACCAATGAGCATGCTATGTAAATCAATATGGCGATTTTATTTCAATGCTCATTGATCCAGACGGTCTAAGGGTGCGAACTCATGCAGCGGAAAAGCGTAACGCGGAACAAGAGCGGACCAATCGTGAGCGTTCTGCAGTTTTCGCTACGCTCACGATTGGTCCGCTCTTGTTCCGCGTTACGCTTTTCCGCTGCCATGGGTTTGCACCCTTAGGATGCGAACCAATGCAGCGGATTAGCGTAACGCGGAACGAGAGCGGAACCAATCACGAGCGTTCCACAGTTTCGTTCTGTTTTCAGTAGTTTCTAGCGGAATAGGTTTCACAGATTGCGCAATGTACATACACATCTCACATATACACATGGTAGTAAAAGCTAACTTCAAAATTTTCCTTTATCTCTCAAAAATGAGTAATAACTTGTAATAATTAATAATGTATCTCTGTTTCTGTACTAACCACGTTGCTCTACGCTGCCAATTTAACAAAGTATATGTGTACATACATACAGTTCCGTCATTTTCGTTGATTTCAAGTCCCTACCCATACAGCACTGAAGCTTGCAACAACATTGCTGCAACATTGCAATATTGCATATTGCAGTGTAATGTTGCAGAAATATAGCAAAGACAATATTTTACAATATAACTTTAGCAATGTTACAGCAACATCCCGAAAATATTACAAAAAAAGTATTCGATAATCGCTAGTTCATTTGTTTACCGCTATGCCGTGCATGTTGCGCTATCTATTCCGCATTTAATTTTTAGTCACGATGATTATATAAAGTTTACAAAGAGCGGCTAGTAAGATTAAAGATATAATAAATATTTTTATTAGTTTAAGTTGTGTATGATATGATCCCAACACAGGGGACTCAGACATTGGACTAAAAATTCTTTTAATAGTTTCCATTCTTATATAAAATAAAAAATTTGATAATAATTTTCTAATATGCAAGATACTTCAGATTTTAATAAATAAATTTTAAGATTATATAAACAGCTGACGAGTATCCTGTAATTTCATATTAAAATGTTTCATATAACCGTCTTATCGGCTCTCATTTTTTGGCTTTAAATTTTTCTTCTTTGATATGCTCTTTTGCGAGCTGATTCGTTGTCCTTAGTCTTTTTTTCAATTCTTGCGCGTAATCGTCGTAATTATATGTCGGTTTAGGCGGTCTCGTCAGTGACGTAGGTAAATCTGCTTGGTGCCCGTAAACTAATTCGAAGGGTGTATACCCCGTAGCTGTGTGTGGCATCGTATTGTATGTGAACATTGCGAACGGTATCCATTCGTCCCAGTCGGTCTGGTCTTCGTTTATGTAGTGTCTTAAATATTCCGCTAATGTTCGATGCGATCGTTCTAACGCGCCATTACTTTCCGGATGATAGGCAGTTGTTTGTATTTTATTTATTTTTAATAGTTTACATGTATTTTTAAATATTTCGCTGAGGAAATTTGTGCCTTAATCCGTTAAAATTTTTTCCGGTATTCCGTGTTCAAGTACAATCTTTGTAACGAATTCTTTACTGACCGTGTTCGCTTCTTGGTTTGGAATCGGTATCGCTTTGCTGAATTTCGTTAAGTTGTCTTGGAATGTTAAAAGATATTTATTTCCGTTTGTTGTAACTGTTAGCGGTCCTACAATATCTAACGCGCATTTTTCGAAAGGTTTAGTAGACGTATCCGTGATAATTAACGGTACTTTATTTTTTCGCGATAGTTCATTTTTTTGGGACAATTCGCATTTTGCAATGTATTTTTCTACATCTTTCGTTATTCCTGGCCAATTATAGTCAAGTATTTAGTACTTGGGCTGCGTTCGAGAACGTCACCCGTGTGCACCGAGTGTCATTCTATCTTTGTTATTTACTGAAAGTTGAACAAAGATAGAACGACGCTTGTGTGCTTACGAGTGATGTTCTCGAACGCGGCCCTGCGCAACAGAAACCGAGCGCGCCATTTTTCAAATCATTTGTTTTTCTTTAATTCATTTAAGAAATATTAACACTGAAAGAAAATGATTGAAATCAAACGGTAAATTGTAAATTTTTTGTTTTGTTACAGTATGTGTGTAATTCATTCAGCTATACAGGGTGTCCCAAAGCACCCTTGATAATGCTCGTGAGTAAGTAGAGCACAGTAAACTGAACAGGAAAGTCCTGTAACATTTTTTTTATAACGCTTAATAAAGTAGTTATTATTAATAAAAAAAAAAATTGTTTTTAAGAAAAAGTATGTAATTATTTATGTATTTTTTAAAAACAATGAATGATAACCACCTGACCTTTGACTGGTACCACAAGCCTACCTTTTCAGGGAGATATTTACATTTCTTGTCGAATCACCCTCTTTGTCAGAAGAGGGGTACTGTGATCGCAATAGAGGCAAATACGATTTCTTTCTCACTTCCTTCCGACACTTTTCAGCCTGCTATTCCCCTTCCATTTATATATGTTCTAAGACCGTCCCGCAGTGGCTATCCCCTCCGCAATGATATGCTCGGTCCCTATATTTCTATGTCTATGGTAATGAACAACGAGCGACAGCTAAAATTTTTTGCAAGTTACTTAGAGTCATGTCCTTGACGATATATGTCAAGGTCATTGAAATTGGTGAGGTCGGCGCTAATATGCATATTTACCTTTTCTTAGAATAAGTATTGCTTAAATTGTATATTATTTCAAATTTTTACGTTTTTAAAGATTTTTCAGGAATTAAAGATAAATACAACATTGCAAAAGTAATTTATATATATTGTTTAATTATATGAATCTTTAAAAGATAAATTTTTTTAAGTAATAGCATCCAGTCTCCATGTCTCATCCTCCGATGGTATATTCGATGTTGTATTACATTATTGTTACTTATATATCATTAATAAGACCTGAAAAATCAAGACAAATAGATAAATTATTATATTAGTTAGATTATCTTTAAAGAGTATATTAATATTGACAATTGTGTGCTTACTTGTATATACTTTCGCATCGTTAATATGATACTTTGATATGCTGAATCTGGATCTGACATCAACTTTACCAAATTTGAAACAGACTGGATATGTATAAATTCGATTCTCTTTCCTCTTGATAAAATTCTTGTAGTCGTTATAAACTTTTGATATTATCTTGAAAGATGGAGATGTTATAAATATTATTGCTATCAAACACCTTTATATTGTCCTGAAAGATCAAATAGATAGAGATAACACTGGTAACACTTATTCTATGGAAAATTCAGAAATTATATAAACAATAAAAGATATAATTTTATTTTATTACTTACCCTTTTGTTAATATTAAATACTATTGCTTTTTTAATTAATAATCATAATCACACACAAACTCTTTCACAAAGTTAATTTTTATTTGTTAGAAGACAATGAGATTATTTATAAATAAAAATGTACTCTCTCTACTCTATATATTATCATATTATATAATAATATATACAGGGTGTCCGGTAAAGATTGTGCCAACGCTCGTGAGCGAGTAAAGCACAGTAAACTGAACAGAAAAATCCTTTACCATTTTGCGATTTTGCTGTAATAATTATTGAGAAATTAATTAAAAAAGATCGACCAATTCGTG